TTGTTGTTCCCTTGTCCCTGTGCTTGTTAACACCCTCTTCCTTCCTCCCCCCCTCCCCTACCCCCATGCTCCCCTGGTCTGTCATCCTGTTGTTCTCTCTTCTGGCTTGTTTATTCAGCCTATCCCTTCCAGGTAGACATGCTATGTACCATCACCAGGCAATTTCTTAGGCAGCTACACTTTAGAATCCGAATCTCACACCCTTTCTTGATGGATCATAAATGACTTTTTGTTCCTGTAGGCCTGTGAGTAATAAAAAAAATGTTCAGCTTCTTGGATTATCTGGAAACTTTATGGACTTGGAAGACACAGGTGGGAGAAATGGAGCCCACATGTTGAGCCTCCCTGAGTTTCCTTCTTCCCCTCGTCCTTCTCCCTCAACATTCTTAACCTGGGAAGCGTGTGCTTTCAATGTATCTTACTTATAATCTAGTCTGCTATTACCAAAATTGGGGGGAAAAAAGCTACATAACAATCAAAAATAAAACAAAAAGCAACAAAAATTGCCTTTTGAAAATTATTAACAAATACAAAAGTAGAGGGAATAGTGAATAATGAGTCCCATCATGGGAAGTCTCACGTGCCTGTACTCACACTCTACTATTGCCCCCAGTCCTGAATTATTTTGGAAAAAATGATAAATATCAGTTATTCAATTCATAAATATGTTTGTATATTTTACTTAAAAGCACTATTTTAATAAACAAAATACAAATACACCTGAAAAATATTAACAATTCTTTAAAAGTGTAATGGAAAGCCCCAACACTCTTCTGTCAGTTTGTTTTACTGTGTTGGTGGAAAATATTGAATGATGCAGGAAGCATCAAGAGAAGATATAAGGAATAAATAGAGTCATTGTACCAAACGAACTAGGCAACAGCTCACCATCTCAGTAGGTAGACTATGAGAACCAATGGTGCTGAAGAAAGATAGTCAAATTGTACTGAATTTATTAGCCAAAACGAGGCACCAGAAATTGATGGAATATCAATTGAAATATTTCACTAAGTTAACAAAGCACTGGAAGCACTCACTCATCTATTGCAGGAAATTTGGAAGACAGCTCCTTGGCGAACTGACTGGAAGTGATTCATATTTGTGCCCATTCTAAGGAAAGGTGACTGTGTTAGTCTGGGTACATTAGAAAAACAAATCCACAGAAACCCATATGCACAAGAGAAAGTTTTATATATAGGGTAAGTGCGCATCAAGAAAACATCCCAACCCAGTGCTGCCCAAGCCCATAAGTCCAACATTAACCCATATGTCTGATACCATTACACAAAGTCCTCCTCCATCTCACAACACAGACACAATGATGC